CACAACGGAATAAATCCACCTCTCAATAGGATTTAGGTAGGAAAGAGACGGAACACAGCAAAAAACAGATAGAACGCGGGGAAATTCGTGTTAAGGGAGCCTTGGATTTAATCTTCAATTTTGTGGTGTTTGACTGTATTTACGCTATTTATCTTTAAATCCTATTAATAGTATGCTGCACCTTAAGTAACAACAGAACACAAATTTCCATATCATATTCTAAGGTGTAGCGAAATAAGCTATTTACCTGCCATAAAAAAGGCAGCAATCAATCATAGAACACAAATTTTCATTAAAAAGTGATTTTGTGAACATCTAAATGCTCTAAGCCATTAAAGATATTCTATCACAAATTAAATCTTCGAGACCTTAGACCATTTGCTTGGCTGCAAATAGAAAGTAATGTAAACTATTTACTTCATTATATGCCACACATTTGACTGCATTTACTTTGCAACAGATTTGAACTAAACACTAAAACGAAAGATAATTTGCATTTAAGCACTTCCGTTTACATCAGATCTTTACAAAGCTAACGAGTTCTTAACGAGATAGAAAGTGACCGTAAGAAAACAATAGCATTAAAGGATTCTAAACTCATGCTGCAACATGAGAAAAGACATTAGTCTTAAATGATGAAAACATCCAACTATTTTACTTACAGTGCATGGTATCCAGTTGTTCTCTCTAATTCAAAATATTGGATGTGAATTTGCAGGGTGAAGAGAGAAATTGATGTCTGCAAAATAATAATTAGTTTTGAAACCTTGAAGGCGTTCTGGTATTACAGAGAGGAGAGGAAGACGGAGAGGATTTGATTCTACAACCAGCTTCAGGAGAGTAAGGCTGGGATGCCACGTAATTGATCGCGACAACAACGTCGCCTATGATGGGTCGAAAATGGGGCTGCTCCTGGAGGCACATAGATGCAATGACAACTAACTGGTGAAAAGGTTTTCCTGGATAGCAACCTTGTAGCGATGGATCTGCCAATTTCCTGAACCGCCTTCTATCATTAAGGAAAGGCGATGCCTGAAACACGAGCGAATACAGTTCATGTATGTAAGGTTTGGTGAACAAAAGTGAGATAAAGTTTAATTGATTTTCACTAAGACTTTGCTTGGCTTGAAGGAATTTAAAGAAAGGAAATGGAAATGATAAAAATTTTGAATTACAATTAGTTTTCATAGCCTTTCGATCATTAATCAAGTTTTCTTCACTTTTTTCAATAGGTCTAAGGATGTAGTCATTAAAAGAAAAATGATTTGTTCACCTTTCAAAGGTAAATCAGATTGCTTACTATATATATATATATATAT